CGGTTGTCCAAGGCTCGGCAATGACCGGGCTACCGGTAGCCTGAGTCACGGGCCTTGAGAACCGGTAGGTACTGATGGTTTAAGGTGCTCAGTTAGGCACACAAAAAGTACTTAGAAAAAAACAGAGGGAAGTCAAACAACAGGGGGAAACAGACATACATAAAACTGATTGTGAGGGAAGACGAACAACAGGGGGAAACAGACATACATAAAACGTATTAAAACTGATTGTGTTTGTGTGTTATGAATTATCACCACAACTTCCCCTATTCCAACCAGATGAGTAGATCCAAAGTCATAGCAATTTTACCTCAATTGCACACAATGAAGCGTGCTTAAGGTGAGCCAATCCACCAATGAAGCAGTTTTGCTTGTAAAGTCAATATCTATCCAAAACCACCAGAATCTTTCCTTTGTTATGATCCTGGTCAATTTCGAAGTCCACATTCATCAGAAAGTACAATGTCGTCCAATTGCAAAAAGAAATGGATGAACTTGAGAGGAGATAGAGGGAAAGAAGAAGAAGATGAAAGAAAGAAGAAGAAGAAATGCACCAGCAAAGACCAATGAGAATTCCCTTCTTTGCCAACCACTAACCTCCTTATCTCCTCCCCTTTTATTCAAACAAGAAATAATAATAATAATAATAATAATAATAATGTTGAATGGCTGAACCAGAATCAATGTCCGGATCCGTCTTCTACTGCAGGCATCACATGAGGTCCACCATAGCCATGGCTACCCTCCTTCCTCCACAGCCGAGGCTATGGCGGACTACCAGGGCACCGCCCTGCTTTGCAAAGGACTATGGCTGCTCTAGCTCAGGCCGCCGTGCCTGACTCTGCCTCGAAGCTTCTCAGTGCAGCTCTACCCCAACGGGGGCCTTCCAAATGCAGCGCCCACCAAGGTCATGAAGATGGTATCCACCATAGCCATTTAAGTACCTCTGGCGCTCCTCCCTCCTACCGTATTCACCCGAAAATAACGCCCGGGCGTTGTATACGAATATAATGCCCGCCAGGCGTTATATTCGTTTACAACGCCCGGGTGTTCTATTCAGTAAATTGGTGGCAACTTCGGTGCGACCCCAAAATTCTGAAAAAAAAAAAAAAAAAAAAAACTGTAAAAAACATATGTTGTCCAAAATTGCAATGTGAGCAACTTGTGGCTGAGGGTAACTTCAGGACTCCTTATAAACTCGGAAATAAAAAATAAAAACAAAACATCAAAAATATACCCCTTGGAAGTCGAACCCCCTTTCAAGTTTCAACCCCCTTTAAATCCCATGTATACCCCCGTCCCCACCCTTTAAAACCGATGTATTCTACCTTTACAAGGCACTCTGCACATGGAACATTCCAATATAATGCAAGGACGTTCTATTCGAATATAACGCACGGGTGTTATATTCGAAGGGGTGTTCTATTTGAAAAAAAAGTGAGTAAAACTGTAAAAACAAAAAGCTGATGTTTTTAGGGTAAGTTGAATATAACGCCCGGGCGTTATTTTCGGGTGAAGACGGTAGTCCTGGTCTTCTTCCTCCTCCTGTCCTTGCTCCTCCCCAGTAGCGCTGCTCTTGATGCTAGTGCTGCTCCAGCCAGCGCTCCAACCAGTGTGTCGCCAAACTTGCACACCGACAACGAGGAGGAGCACCTTGCTCCTCCTGGAGATATAGCGGCCTGCTTGCCTCTTGGCGAGTGACTTCCTAGGCCGCGCGGCCTCCAAGCAACTGGTACCTCCTTCCTTTCGGAGGGAAACATCATTGCAGACTTTGATATTGCCCGTACATGCCCTAAACTCAGACTGGTTGGAGAGGTACCCACCTAAACCTAGCCTGTAACTACTGGGCCTCTAAAAATTCCAACGTCTGTCTTCTTCTGCTCAGCCTCGAGTACCGGGCACATCTACCTCTACTTGGTGTGGTACCGGCCTACCTGCCAGTTGAGTATTTTCTGCTCCTCAAGTGTCGCGGGCCTCTTTCCCCGCCACTTGAGTGTTTTCCCCGCTGCAACCCTCATTGTCACGGCCACAGGTAAGTACCAGTCCTTCGGGCCTTCTGAACGAACAAGTGCCCTTGCGGGTCAC